GCCTAACTAGACTATCAACGATAAAAGTCCTTAGAATTTCTTATATCATTATTAGTTAAAAATTGCAACATATCGAAATTTAAGAGCATTACGGCAAAGATATTGATTTGCGAACCGAATATCATTGAAATGAATTAAAATTGTTAGATTTTGTTCACTGGTCTATGAAATATTCGATACGCCACATTATCTTTATCATAATGCTTCTTCTCTCTTAGAATGTTGAATACCAAGGTTCTTTGTAAACAATAATCTGCATTCATAAGGCTCGTCTGAAATTGTACTTGCAGGTCAAATCCGCAAAGTAGTTGCAAATTATATAAAAAAAAAAAATTCATTCCGAAATTTCACAAATACCATTAATTTAAAGAATCAAGTTAAACCTTGTAACTTAAAAATTTATATTTAGTTAAATAAAAAGCCATGTAAAGTTAATTTTCGGGGTCTCATAACATAAAATTTTTAGAAAGGGATTCGGAACCTGATTCTAACTTTGCTTGGTCATATATTTTTGATTCAATTTTTTATAATTGGCAACTCTTTTTTAGGGTTTGGGGTTTGGGGTTTAAGCCAAGAAAAAAAAAATTAAAAATTGCATTTTTTTCGTTTGTGTGATTGCTTTACACGTCAAAAGTATGACAAAAAAAGTTAGCATAGATTTTTTCAAATTCTTTTTGTTAAAATAAAACTGCGCCATCCACAAACTTGTAAAGCAGATGTTTATTATTACCAGGATATGCAGATAGGTTCCGTTAATTCCCATATCTGATATAGGGTCAGAAAGTTCTAAAGTTTATCTGTATTCAGAAGTTGGTACGCCCAATTTCATGCCTGTTTTGTTTAACTTTGTTTTGCCCGCGCTTTTTTGATAAAAGCAACCATTTTTGTCCTGTCTTCAAGCTCCGCACGAGGGAACAAGCATCTGTGCTGCACAATTCCGCAGTTAGAAACTATTAAAATCAACCATATCGATATTATCTGTTATTAAATTTTTTTTAACTATATGCTATGCTCTTGATTTTATTGGTCGAATAAAAAGGTATGACAGATGACGTTGTATTCGTCAACTTTGGTAATTTGTAAATTTTGTTGATCAATTTTTTATATTATAGACAAAAACACACAGCATTCGTTTTCAAATCTTATAATTTTACGTTGTCTTTTTTTTTTTTTTTTGTAAATTTTTCTTTTTTTGCATCAAACAACATAATTTGATCAATACCCTAACGGCAACTACTATTTCACTCTTTAATAAAGAATAATTTTTTCGTCCGAATAAAAAGCGATTCGTCAAGATCCAATTTTTACTTTTTCGCTCTATGGCATTCAATCAGCATCAGTTAATTCCAAGACCGGACATTAAAGTGGGTTACAGGCTTAATGATGAATATGCTGATACACTGCTTCCACGAATAAGAAAATTATTACGTTCTAATCCTCATTCGAAACGGTAAGATCATAATTATCATTTTATCTTATTTCCTTTAAAAAAAAAAAAAATTAATATCAGATTCGAATTTAACAATTGTTCTTTTAAAAATTAATAGATTTCCCGGAACACAACCTGTTGATTTTGAATTATGTCATTTCGATTTATTGGAATCAGAAGAGTATTTTGTACGAGATAAAACTGACGGGAAGCGATATATCATGTTTTTCACCGCTAAAGATGGTGGTACGGTATTCATGGTAAGTTCAACTTATTTGACATATTTGGAAAATACGCGTGCTCATAAACTTTCTTTCTGATCTGTTTGCTGATTATCTAATCGATCAACAATTTACTTAAAATTCAGCTGGACGAATCAAACAAGTTTCGATTCCTGACTAATTTCAAGTTACCCCAACGGCATAATCCTAATGCAATACACGATGAGACTATGATGGATGGTGAGATAGTAATGGAAATCGATGACGATAGAGTATTTTATCTGAATTAAGTTTTTTAATTTTCTTTTTAATTTCCAAAAATTAATTGCCAAATTAATCTTATTCCTTTTTTATGATCTTCAGAAATGTTTACGATACTTAATATTTGATCTAATGGTCTTAAATGGAAGCATTCTTATAGAAAGACCTTACAATAAACGGATGGGTGTATGTTAATATTTGTGATTAATTTTATTTTAAATTTTTGAGATTCATTTCTTAATCATTTATAATTTTGATTTTGTCATTTTTGTTTTCAGATGTTAAAGCAGGACGTGATTGAACCATTAAATGCGGCATTGAAAAGAAATCCAGAAATGAAAAAAAGAATGCCGTTTACGTGAGCATTATGTCTAATCACTACTTCATGTATTAAATTTATTAATTTTTAATTTCGTGCTAAATTATTATCATCATTATTTCATCTATACTATCTATGCTATGTAAAAAGGATGGAAATCAAATCAATGGAATTATCTTACGGATTGATAAATACTTTACAAAAAATTCCTTCGTTAAAATATGGAAACGACGGTTTGATATTTGTTCCGGTAAACCATCCGTACGAACCTGATATGTGTCGCAAACTGTAAGTTATATTTGTAACTATTATCCTTTACCATAATCAGTCATTTCTTTAAATCGGATTGCAATCTTTCAATAGACTTCTGTGGAAGCCAGTAAATCAGATGTTTGTTAACTTTAAAATCAAAGTCATCAAACATAGGGATAAGAAGCCTATATATCAACTATTGATCGCTAATGATGATAATACTCATAAATTTTATGATTATTTAACCCCGGATCAACAGACCGAGGTCGAGTGAGTAATTAGTAAATTTTACATACGCATGATGTTCATATTCGGTTAAACCTATTTCTTCGACACTCCATTTCCATGACTCTGTTTCTCCGATAGGATATTTCCCCAGAAATCATTTCCTTTATAAAATAGTTAGGTTTAATTCTAGAATAGTTCTATCGGCTATACAATATTTGGGTAATTACAAAAAGAATTCATGATAACCGGTAAATTATGTTAGGAAAATTTTATTAGTAAAATACCTTGTCGGTGAAACTTCCAGTTAGGGAATTGTTGTCGAGGAAAGAGGGCTTCAGGAAACGTGTTGGGTCCGTTTAATTTAATATTAATTTGTTAATTTATTATCAGCTGGATTAAAAATGTTCACGATGGAGATATTGGCCAATTCTGGTAATATGTTAATGATATTAGATACTTTAATATATGATGTGAAAGTAAAAAGTACGTTAATGTGAACTAGGTATGATGAACACTGGAACACCACGATTTATGATGCTGATCCACACATCCGGCATGGTGGCTGGCGGTAATCGATCATATTAATTATTTTTGTAGATGCGGATCAATTTAGATTCTTCTATTGATGCTCGCACGCAATATAGGTTTCGTAAATTTAAAAGCGGACAACATACCGCAGATTCGGAAAAAGTATTAGCTGAAGTTTTGAATCGAATAAAACATGCTGTTCTAAGAGACGCGGTGGGTTTTGTTCAGTTTCTTATTTGCTATTATTTATAATGACATCTTATTTATAATTTAATTTGAATCATACTAACAATGATATGATAATTAAAGTTAGAGGAACGAGTCACTGTTATAAGAGAGAAGTGGAAACTTCGACAATCTAATAGAGCTAGCGGTTCACAACCGCTACCTACATCAATACAAACCTCAATCACACAGACCAGGTATTTATTCTGTTATACGTTATAGTCAATTCATTTTTTAATAATAATTGGTTTCTTCGACGATCAGCTTGTCAGAATCGCTTCACCCTCCTTTCCAGGATTCACGTCAACCTTTGATACGGCATCATGATATTCATAAAAGTAACGAATCACCGATAGAATATCATGATTCCTCGTATCGTTCTCATGATGATTCACAATTTGATTCACAATTGTATTCGAGTTCTCTAGAGAAAAGGTCCCCCGTTACTGAAAATCAAGCATCAAATGAAAATAAAGAAATACTCGAGAGTCCATCTGTATTACATGATCATAATCGAGAACAGCTCCAGAACCAACTTTTAATAGACACTGAGGAGTATCATGAACATCGAAATTCGTATGAAAATCGAGAAAATCGAGAGCTTGTCGAGAAAAAAGATTCAATTGAGAATCAAGAATCATCAAATCAAAATAATGAATTACTCAAGACTTCAGCTACATTACATGATTGTCATCGTGAACCTCTTCAGAGAATGCCATTAACTCATGCCATATCAACAGAAGAACGTCGAAATTCTTACGAAGATGTCAATTTACATGATGAAGGGATGGATTCCGACGTGTCAGAGGATTTTGAGCAAAGTCGAAGTCCACGAACTCGTAGAAGATCAATTTCAAATACAGAACCTCAAATAACTAAATTTGAATCTACAAGTCCACCAAACAAAGGAGAGTCATTTTCATCAGGATCGGAAAATTCACAGAATCTTGCTGAAGATATTGATCCAGATGCCGATCCATGGGATGCTCCTGATTATTATGAAAGTTCACAAATAGCAAATAATGAATCGTCCTATCCAGAAGATCAATCCGAATATTGGGAAGAGAATGAACATGTTGAATCGTCCGAAAGTTCGGAAGCAACATTAGATAGTAATTTAATAACAGAACCTGTGAAACGGGAGACAAATCAACATGAAGAACTCCAAGAATCAGAAGTTTCTATACAACAAGATCAACTCCAAACACGAAAATCTCAACAACATAGGATTTTTGTTCGCGAAAATCAACTACCTATTATATCACATCAAGATTCACGATATATCATGCAACAGGACCAATCTCAAACTCAAAAACTTCAACAACATCGATCGTCTATACATGAAAATCCACAGATCATCCCGCCTAGGTCTCGATCCCAAATTCTCCAGCGACAATCAGAGTCTCGCATTCCTATGCAACACATTCAACCTCGATTACAACGTATTCCAGACACTTTACCTATACAAGAAATCAAACCCATTATGCAACGATCACAATCTTTAACACGTGAACATCGAATTTATTCACAACATTTACCTAAAATATTTCCCATACAACCAACACAATATCCTATGCAAGAAATTCAGCGAACGTCAAATAGACAATTACAAGAATTCCAAGAGAGTGGAAAATTTCCGGAACGAACAGAATGGGAACCTAACATAGGAATTGAAATACCTGAAACAAATAACAATAGCAACGCTTTACCATACCGACCAATTATTCGGCGACACACATTCTCAAGCAATGATAATACCAATATCCAAAACACACGAAGACAAGCGATTAAT